TTGGAACAACCCCAAGTATATAAACAGTACTTAATTTAATTAATTATTAAAAAGAATGTAACAGATTTAACAGTAGTGTAAATGCATACAGCCACTGCCTTCCAGTTAAAGTTGTCACTGTTTGGAAAGACACGGAAGTGTGGGGGTTGGAGAGGTAGATTACTTGTGCCTCATCCAATCCAATGGGAAAGAATAGTTCTGGGAACATGATCAAGTTGGAATTTATCTGCTCAGAAAAGTATCTAGAACTTTTAAAAGTTCTTGGAAGTTGCTGGTCCCTAAGCTGCAAACAACCTCAGCAGTAAATAAGTGCACTCAGGATGCACCTGCAAAACAAGTGCAGACACTTGCATCATTCCTACCTCCTACATTTCATGAGACAGTTCAGGCTGGTACCAAGGAATTCTAGCTTGATTCCAAGCTGAGGGGCCTATTGAGAAGCAAAGAATATTAGCTCAGTGCAACACTAATATGGCTTTACAGTTTCAATGAATCCTCTGCAGCTGTGGGATGACCAAAATTACTCCCAGAGAAACTCCATGAATACTGCTGGAAACCTCTTGGAATTCTGGCTGCCCTAAAAAGTACATCTGAAATTGCTCAGTCCAGTGCAGCTCAGCAATGGGAAATTTTAAGAAAAAGTTCTTTGAATCAGGATGTGGGTATGATTCATCCTGTTTTGGGGATAAAGATGGCACCTTTCACACTATCTTAAATATTCATTTACAACTGAAAGAACTTCAGGTTTCTTTTCATAAAAATTACTGGCTTTTAATAGGAGAATCAACATCTCTAGTAAACTGTCCAGAAATTCATGTATATGACCATTAACTAACTGGAATCAGAAACTTTTGAAATACATACTAATATTTCTGCTTTACTTTAAGTAACATAGTAAAGAGAAGTCCTTCATTGCGTTGTTAACGAGGAACATTTAACTACCCCATTTTCCTTGTTACAAGTCTTTGATTCAGTGCCTGACAGAGGGAATTGTCTTTTGTGCATTATGTTTGCAGATTCTTTTTTTGTTTTCCTTTGAAATGGTCCTGTTAGCATAGATAGCATTGTTCCAATGGCTTCCTTTCTTCCTGAAGGGTGGAGGAATAAGAAAATTACTTTTTTATTACTCATAAGGGGCAGATTTACTGCACTGTATAAGTCAGTATGGGTAAAGATTACTAGTATACAATACCAGTGGTAATTTTGTAAATGATGCAAGTAGATTACAAGAACATTTTTGAACACAGATCTCAATACAGACAAATCAGTTTTTGATGCCAGGAAGCTACAAAAAATTGATGTATGAAAAGGGAAATATTCTATTTTAGGTACAGCTGATGTTAAAATAATAAAAATAAAGAACTATTGTCAAAAGTATCTGCAAAAGTGGATTTATTGAAATTTGTTGTAAAAATGCAACTTTTACAAAAAAAATCAACAAGGTTTATTGTATTACTTACTGCACAAAGAATATAACAATGATTCAAATCTTCCAATAGAAAAATCAGAGGTGCCAATACAGAAATCTTAGTGTGCCATAATACCAGGTAATGCACAGTATCTGTCACTTACCAAAGATCTGCAGTTGGTGGGAGGTCTTCCCACCATGAGGAGCAACCTTGAGAGGTGTCCCAGCTCAAGGGAAGATCCCATGCAGCCAGTCGCTCAGCAGGGAGAGCTCAAAGAGCGCTCATTTAGGCTGTCATATTTATGGAATAAAGTGGCTGGCTTGTAGCCAAACTGCAAGCAATGGGAAGGGAATGCTAAGACTTCTTGCATCCACAACTTTCTTTGTTCCTTGACAAAGAAGTCTTAGAAAAGTCACCCGCTATTAACATGTTATTCACATGATCAGTGATCCAAGTTCATATGCATCAATGCTCACCGGCGTCACACTGTTCCTTTGTGGATTTTCAGAGAACAGATTGGAACTACAGAAGTTCTTGGCCCGGTTATGTCTTAGCCTGTTACCTCCTTTTGGAGCCTGTACTAGCTACCCCTAGTTTGGTTAAAGAGTTCAGTGCATCTGTCACACTCAGTCAGTTTGTTCAGGTACTTTTAGCCAGGCATAGAGAAATTACATATAATAATATATATATAATACATATAATTCAAAATAAATCAGTTAGTTACTGACTAACAGACAGAAGAGCTAGGTAGAGTTTAATGAGCTACTAGACAAAGCATAAGTATCCTTGCTATTCATATTAACCCACCCAAGAAGGCCTTGCTGGGCAAGCAGACACGAGTCAAAAGGGAAGGGATCACTATCCATGGCTGTCTGGAAAGGAATCCCGGGACTGTCAACTTGCAATCCTTCACCAACACTGATAACATAACATAAGGATTGACAGCTAGTCCGCAGTTAGATTGGCTAGCTTGACCAGGCTTCTCTGGGTGATTTTTACCTTTGTGATTTTATACCTTTCCATGCTGGTGTTTTCCCTCTGAAACCTCTGAACGTAAACAATCTCATGTCAACAGCCCAACTTTCAAATTTCTCTATAGATGACAGACTTTCATAGCAGTGTGGATCAAGGTTATGCAGCTGTGTCATATCAGAGATGGTCTTCGGATACACAAACATAGGCAACTCAGCACCTAGGAGAGGTGGGGTGAAATTCAGAGCTGTGGTTACAGAGAAGGAGTGTGCCAGGTTGGACTGGATGTCTTCTAGGCCTTTCCAAATTAGGCTGCTATGATTTGGTATACAGAGAACTTTGGTATCTAAGTTGGGATTTTAGATTCTGTAGATTCTGTGACACTTGACACATTGTGCTGCCAAGCTGTTTTGTGGATTTACCTTCGTTCTTTTCCTTCTGCTTCAGTTTGCTCTCCTCAAATACGAGAAACTTGGTAACCTGCATTTTGAAACACTTTATGACCAGGCATGAAATTCCTTACAACATATTCAATAACTTGTTAGGGGTTCTGGGTACTAATTAGTACCTCGAACAGTATTTCTAAATAGCAGTGAATTCATATGTTCATAAGTAAGCATTCAAAGAATATGCTAACACATTGTTCATTCTGGATCTTATGGATCATCTGGATCAGTGTGAAAGCAGCATCAGAGTCTATTGCTGCTACCCAAACAGAGAGGCAAGAGAGAACCACAGCAGAGTTAGAATCACTCAGAAAATATTAAATATATAAATGGATTTTAACAGGTATTTCTATTAAAAGAAGAAAAAAGAATGCTCAAATCAGAAAAATCAACAAATACATTATCTTTAAAATAGTATGTGCAAAAATTTTCTACCCCATGTTTTATGTATTGCATATCATTGCAAATCCCACTTTCAAACATACAACAGGTAAATTTTCAGGAAGCTTTTCCAATTATACTGTCTAGAAATATTAGAGGAAAGAACTTACTAGCATATTGCAGAGAATTGTTAACAAACATAAGAGAAAAAAGAAACACAAAAATTTTGGCATCCAATTTTAGATATCTGTGATTTGCATTTTCAGTAAAACTAAGCAGTAAGGTGACCTTTCAAGTGCATACTACTCTGAGTCCTGACACAACAGTAAATGTCCTGTTGTGGTGCCTCTAGAGGACCAGCACGCAGGCAATAAAAAAGGAGTAACTAGTGACCCTCTATGAAAGTTCAGTTTCCATGATTCACACAACATGCACAGGAACTCTTGAAGCAATGGACACAATTCTCCAGAATAAGGCTCTGAAGAACAGAACTATTCCTTGACTAGGAATAATTTGCTTGACTAGAAAGCAAAAGCATAATAAGAAAATGGAATACCTGACTAAGAAACAGGGTGTCACTTGATAGAGGGAAGTATGAGAAATCACTGCAATAAAATGAGGTAGGGAACAATTGGCTAGACAGCAATGCAGAAAAGAGGGATCAAGGTGCTGAAGTGGTTCACAAGAGAAGTATAAGTGAGCAACACTATTCTATTACAAAAAAATTGGCAAACTATATATTGAGAGTTATAATAAGTAATATAGCCTATAAGGCTGAACTTTGCAGATCTCATCCTCCTGACCAAAAGCAACCAAGCTTCAAGAATATGAGGTAATCCAAAAGAAAGTAAGGAAAGCAGTATCCTAATAGGTACACTGTGTTTAACCTACAAATGTAGCTTAAGAAAAAAAAAGTAAGAGACAGAAGACCTCAGTGCTACAAACTGGAGAAACCTTCACCATGGACACACTGACAAGGATAAGCAACATCTTTAAGCAAAACTTTCTCGTGGCTATACATCTTCTGATGTAGCCAGGCAGCTTGTGTCACGCTGTACCTCCCTGACTGAGGCCAGTCAGCTGGGGACCCTCAGTTGAAGGGCAGGGCAACAGATACAGTCAACTCCTGGTCTCCCTTCGTGCTTTATGTGATATTGGGACTGAAGACTTTAATCTTACTCAACGTATTTTCTGAGAGAGATTCCGTGGGTCAGCTGCATGAGGGAATGAGGCGCTGCACCAGAACGGTTACGACCCTGAGCCTTGCTGCGAGCACCAGGCCATCTCCTCACCCCCTCTGCCTTCGTGACCAAAGTGACGGCTCCTGCCTCCCGGAGCCAGACCAGGGAGACACAGGTACCCCGGGCCATGACATAAGAGATAAAGCAGCCTTTGAGACATCATTCCTGCCTGCGCTTTCTGTCCGCTGGGGACTGGAGGGGCCGGGAAAATGTACATTCTCTGCCCTCCCTGGTCATCTCAGGCTACCCCTGCCTGTCCCCTGCCTGTCCCTGCTCGGCTTCCCCCCCGGGTCCCCGCCCGGACCCTGCAGCCCCTCCACGCCCCGGGGACGCCGCGGGCGCCTGGAGGAGGGGACGGAGGGCAGCCCGCATCCTGTCCTCGGGAAGCCAGCCAAGGGAACACGCCGCGCTTCCCGGAGCGGGGGGGAAATTCCCGAAACTCGGCTCAGCCGGCTCGGCGAGGTGGGAGGAGACACCGCCCTGCCCGGGGAGGGGCGGCCGAGCCGCTTCCCTGCGCTGCCCGAGCGGCCGGCGCGTCCCGGCGCTGGGGGTCCCGTCTGCCCCAGTCCCGAGGTGGCTGCTCTCGGCTGCAGGTAAGTGATGCTGGTGTCCCCTTGTCCTTCATTCCCTCAACAAAGCTCCCCTCCCCTCCCTCGGAGGTCCCGTCCACCCTCGGCGAGCGCCGCTCAGCCTGCCCCGCTGAGGAACACCCACCATTCCACCCCGGCGCTTGTTCTGAAACGCGCTGATTAGGTTTGGTGTTAGCATCTCCTGTTCCTGCTGATTCAAGAAGACTTCAGGATCTTTGAATCTGGCATCATACAGAGAAAAATTCTTGCTCTTACTTTCTTTTAAGCTGATTAAATCCATAGTTTAATTTCAAAATCATTGGAGTAAGTGAGAAAACATCATAACTTCTAGTCTGGTTCCTGATTTTTTAGGTTGACTTTTTTTTTTTTTTTTTTTGCATAACGTTTTTATTTCTCTTTCTATCTGAATATTGCCTGCCTCTTCCAGTCCCTACTCCAGGGCAGTAAACCTAACCAAGTTAAGAGTCGATGATGCCTGAAAAACATGGTAAAACAAGTTTTCCTGTTGTTATGTGATTCCTTCTCTACAATTATTAACATTCTTTTTCTGATAGAGCAGAACTCGTTTTACACAGTTTTTTAATTGCTTTATGTTTTTAGACCCCATTTCCCCCCCCCCCTGCTTTTTTTTTTACTGCTTTTTTTTCAGATTCTAGTCTTTTGGGGACCATGAAGTACATATTTTCTTATTTTGGCAAAGCTTTTTAGAAAATCAACAGAATGCATTAAAGAACTTAAAGAGCTTTCTACTTACCAAAACACAGGAAATAAAGCCTCCTCTAAGTGGTCAAATTATTACATGCATATCAGACCTTAATTATAGAAACTACTTTCTTCCAAGTGCAGCTTTTCAAACTTGTTCCTCACCCATTAGATTTCAAAGGCTTATCAAGAGCTTTCACTGTCTTACACATAGATGTATTTTGTGCACCAAGTGTAACTGAAAACATCTTTAAAAGAAGAAGAACGCAAGTACAAGGACTAAAGGAAGGATTCATGTACTTTAGAATGTGGTATCTCAGCTGTTCCTTTTTTTTTCCCCCATAACTGAAAATCAGATTTTCTGTAAACAGTATGATGTTTATTTTAAAGAGGGATCTATTTAGTTGTAGGATGTTTCAGCAGACACTGCTTTACCGACACTCCCTAAGTTCCTGGTGGTTAGACATTGCTCACTGTTTCAAGTAAAGCTGCCTGAGCTGGATGTCAGCTCTGCACTGTTGATTTTGCAAAGGATATACTGGGAATGGCAGGAATCAGGAGAGTGGAGGCACACTACTTTGTAGGGTCTTTTACAAATCATTGGGGCCTTCTGGTCCTTTTGACACTTACCTAGTTATCTGTTTATTTAAGAGGAAAATAAACACATCAGGAGGATAAGTTAATCTGCTTGTGGGCTGTCTTACTTTCTAGGGAGTTTAGAGGCTATGGAAAGAGCTTATTGGGTTTTGGCACTAAAGTATCACTAAATGTTATCAATCTTGTGCAGTAGGAACTTGGATTGTGATTCCTATCCTCAGTCTGTCTATGAAGTAGATGAAATTAGAACACAGGATGAACTATGGATTTATATAAATCCAAAGTAGTATTATTTCTGTAGTTGCCTTGTTGACAGTCCTCTTCCATGTTTGGTTTAGAAAAATTTATTTGATTCATGGTGGTTATGACTCGGTATCCCTATCTAATACTCTAGTACTTAAAATAGATTCAGTTTTTTGAATCCTAGCACCTGGAAACATTTCTTTTCCCAGCTTGTGGTTCATTTAAGGATATGGCTTGTGTTGTTATGGCCACGTTAGGGCAGCTGTTTTAAATAAGCAAAGAAAAGGACACTGAGAAAGGAAAGTTATATGAAATATGATTTGAAATATGTGCCTTTAGGAAGATTGCTACAAAACAGATTAACTCTGCAGTTGACTATGATGTTCATAATATGTTCATAGCAGGGGCTTCCTTTTCTTACACAGGTATTCCAGGTGCTGCAACAATATTTGCACTGTATGGCTCCAGCTCCCAACCAATGACTGCTGGACACTGCGAGCCTGATCTGGTAAGAGGTTTCAGCTGAATTTTGGTGCTTCAAAGACTTTGAGGAGGGGTCTGACGAAATGTTTATCTTAGGTGTGTTTTGCAGATGAATAATGAGAATTTCTTTTTCCTCTCATCCCTGGCATTGGCCTGGACAGGACTACAGGGATCATCTAAGCCAGAATTTTGCTCTGAATGAGAAATAGTTTACCTGGAGATAATTTATTTAAAATATTCACAAACTATCTACTTAAGCAGATTTCATTTACTCAAAGGTAATTTGCTCCTATGCTGTCTTTACTTCTTGAATGATTCTTCTTTAATTGTCAGGTCTCTGAACAATTCCTGTTTCTTCTGAATATTATTGCAATTTCCGTCAGGTCCCCAAAATGGTTCTGTTTTGTTGAAGTATCTACCAGTCCTGATTAATTTCAAGTTAGGCTAGGGAGACCTCAATCCATCTGTATGTGTTTTGTCACACCCCAGGTAACATTTTTCCAACAGAAAGAATTACCAATAGACTATACAGTCATGATTTTAAAAAAATCTATCAGTGATTTAGGTTACAGACTGATCTGCTTTATCCCCCCCGCCCCCGATTTTAATTTTTTAAAGGGGAATGAATATAGGGTAAAATGCAAGATTTATTGGTCAGCTAACTTCTGTAGGTCAGACAGATTATTTTGTGCCCAACTGACTTCAGATTGCAACTTAGTGTTATCCCCCATTTTATAGATCATTTTGCAGTGTGTCTCAATAACCAGGTTCAACACAGAAAATAGAGCTGTAATTAGTGTTGCTGTTGATGGCAGAGAATTGGAGCTCAGTGATTATCTCCTTCTATTTGGCACAAATGAGGCAATATGTAAATTACTGTGTACAGTTTTGGGCTCACTGTACAAAGAAAGCTGAAAAGACAGAGCTAAGCTTTTTGCAGAGGTGTACAGACAAAGGGCAAAGGAAATGGGTGTAACTTGCACAAAGGAAAATATAAGGAGAAATAGGAATATAAAGAGAATATAAAAAGATATTCTCTTTAAATGAACATAAGGACAAAATACATGTTTGAATACAAGGAGGAAAAAACCCTCACAGGGAGAGTGGTTAAGCACTGGAACAATTGACCTAGGGAAGTTGTGGAATCTCCATCCCTGGAGTTCTTGAACATGCAATTAGGCAAACTGCTCTGTGATTCTGCGATAGGCTGAAAAATGCGTTTGCAAAATTATGTCAATGACGAAAGTAGCTAGAAAGGGAAAAAAGTATTAAAATTATGTGTTTCGAGACAATATTCAAAATTACTGACAAAGAGTTTCTTGTTCTTATCTGCAATTCGTGGACCAAAGTACGCAGATGTTCCAGATTGGAGTATAGTGACAAAACATATCTTCTCTTAGGCTTAAAAGGAAAGAGTCGCCAGTAATTAATTCTCAGATTAACAGTGGCATAATGGTGTGATATTCATATCTCTTCAGATTGGCCTCTTTCAGGGTGGTGAATTGCTTAGACACCTAAAAACCTTCCCTGGCTACTTGTTTTCGTTCCCTTTGTTGTTCAATTATTTTCACTTTTGGCAAGGATGTTGTTAATTTATTATCATCATGTTGTTGTTGTTGTTTTGATGAAATTGATAATGTATTTTATAAAGCTGTAACCAAGATGCAGATTTTTAAATTATTATTTTATAAAAGTACTTAATTATTTATAATACTAAATAAGTGCTTGACATTAGCTGGTAGTAAATACGACGTGTGATTAATTTGTTAGTCTCAGGCAGATGTTTCTGCATAAAGATGATGTAATGCAAAATATTACTCATATATTAAGGACCATATTTCTTTTTTTTAACTAATGTTTCATTTATTTAAATTTACTTTTTGTTAGTGGATTTTAGGACTTTCCTCATGACAACTGGTTTGTTACCTACAATTGCATGTATTACCACAATTCATTTATTATGCAGTTTTAAACTAGAATAATAACATACTGAATAGTGAAAATCATTTTCATAATCCAAAATATGTTTATATTTTGGTAATCATTTATTATATTACACTGCCTTTTGGTAGCATAAGGTATTTGCATCAATAAAAGCGATCTAGGTGGAGTCCTTAGTGAACTGACAGTAGAAATTACTGGAGCAAGATAGTTACATTAGGCATTTGTTTCATGACAACAGTAGAGAATGCCTCTTAAGAGTGTAAAAGAGTTTAGATTTGTTTTCTAAATAGGAAGTAATTTAAACAAATAGTCTAATATGTCATTACTTCCACAATACCTTCCCACTGTATTTGCTGTTGAATTTAAATGATGCATAATAAATAGGGCAAATTTTGTCTGTCCAACCCCAAAGACGTTTACAAAATTAGGAGTCCTGTGAGGCCAGGTTTTCATCATGCTGATGTAATTAACTCAGGAGATATGCTGCTGAACCCAGCTGACCACCCTTGTGTTAAATAGTCTTAGAGCAGAAGTCGACTCCCTTGAGTTCAAGGCAGTTGTATTTTCACCTTTTTTTCTGAAGAAAAGAGAAGAAAAAAAAAAAGAAAAAAGTGTTTAAGATTTGGCTTTGTGTCTCAATATTAATTTCAAACAATTCAAAAGAATAGCAATCTACTGAACAGCTACCAGAAGTTTTGACATAATCTACTTTTTGTGTCACTCACACTCTGTAAGAAAGAACCATTCTATCTTGTTTATTCCAGAAAAACCATAACAAATTATTTTCCCTTTAAGATAAAAAATTTGATCAGGTGACAAAAGAGTTTAAATTTAGAAATCTAGAAAAAAAATCAGATTTCCCTAAATCAGTTCTTGGAATGGTCTGTTAGTTGCATGTGAGTTAGGCCTAGCTTCTAAGAAATGTTTGGATTCTTCATACATGTTGATTTTAACGTTATTTAAACACTTTTGAGGATATTAGTATAATGGCAAGAAAGACTGCAGAAGCCTATACATTGGGCAAGGCAACGCTTCCATGTTAAGTACAGGGCCCTCCATGTGAAGCATTTGAACTCACAAGGAGAATGTGGGGCATGCTGCAGCTCAACATATTGAGCCCTGGGTTGCAGTGCTGCGTGCAGGACTTCTCTACAGTGTTCATGTGACCTTTAAAAACATACTGAAAAAAAATAGAATCTTCTCTTCTGATCCTTTGGAGAAATTCAGAGTTTCTCAAAACCGCTGAATGTAATTAAACTTATTAAACAGTCTGTAGCTCTGAAGTATTAAATTGGAGGTTTTCTGCTAGGAAAAAATTATGTAGAGAATTCCTGGCCCATCTGAAATCAGTAAATGTTCTGTCCTTGGCTCAATTTTATGGAGACAGGTCATTCTGGTTATCTCCTGCTAAGTGTTTTCAACTTCTGTTATGAAAGCAGTGATAGAAGACTCACTTTATTGGTGTTCTACGCAGCTCCAGAAATGTAAAACATAGAAGTTCTAAGCTAAAGATAGCTATATCCATTGTCCTGTTCCTGTTGTTTGTACTCCAGTACCCTCTGTGCCTGAGAGCTTTAACCGTACTGGTGCTGAATATTTTCCTCTCTTTTCTGCATAGGGAAATTTGCAGGTGATTCATGTCTTCTGAGATCTGACATACAATCAGTCCTTCAGACCTGGGCTGTGCACGTCAGACACAGTTTCTTTCATACTGTCAAAATATGAGTGTAAAAGCTACAAAAGGAATGCTAGATAGAGCTCTGTGTTGCTTGAGATGATAGTCCTTCTGGGAATGGAATGTGCTAAGGCTTTGATATGTGTATTTCAACTCCAGTTTAGCTAAAGCCCTCCATATAGTGTCCTCCTTAATACCTTCTTTTAGCTTGTTAGGATGGATATCTTGTTACTTGTGCAGGAGGAAAGCCAAAATATATCAGGAGAAACTTTTGTTTCAATATTTCTTTGAAATAAGTGGATAGAAAAGTTTAATTTATTAGTTTAGTGATTTATTAGTTTGGACTCAATTGAAATTTTTGATTGTAGTGTTCTCTCTATGCTCTAACCAGGTCCCAAAACCGAGTGTTTTTTTTATTCCCTATCTTTCTTTGTCCGTTTTTCCTGAATTTATCTTAAACTGGAGTTCATGTGATTAGGTTTTTATTTTTTCATTTTTAAATACAGTAATATTATCTAGTCTATTGTTTGGCACGCATTTCTCCTAAAAAGACAAATAATTAAAAATGTCTTCTTTGCTGATAAGTCTTGTGCAGGAAAAGGTGGACAAAGGATGAATCACTTCATGCTTCTGGCAGTACTGCTCCCCCTACAGACTTGCTATGCTACATACTCACAGCAAGGTAAGTGTCTGAACGTTCAATTTTTTTATTTGGAACCAATCTACAGCAGTTGAAGCTTTGGACTTGCTTACTTCTAAGTCTGTGATTAAGCAACATGTTACACACTTAATCAAGTGATTTTCTTTTGTAAGGTGGCAAAGCAACTTGTATTATTACTTTTTGTGACCCCATTATGCAAAATTGCCTGTTGAACAGATGACTCGCAAAGATATGAAGTCAAAGTGTATTTATTTATTTGCTTCCCCTCTTTCTATTTTTTTACTTTTTTTAATGACTCCATTAGAAGTAAAAAAAAAAGAGATGAAAAATTTTCACTGACTTTTCTGTGACCACCATTAAGAAGGCAGACCTTACCAGGTTCTAGTCTGCATTATGGAAGTTTTATTGCCTTAATTAAGTTGGCGAAGAAGGAAGAGAGATGGCGGTTTTTTTGTGTAAATGTATTTGTTATAATACTGAAGGGAGTTTCAGACATTTTACCTCTCTTCAGCCTTGAAATTTGTGGGTTCACACACCACTCATGCAAGGTGCCAGTTCCCCAGTTTTGAGGCTCTGTTACCCGTGCTCCTAGAGTGGCAAAACTTTGTAATGCGGGCAAGTCCAAACAGTTGCTGCATTATCATAACTTGGTCACTCGTTTTCACATGCAATTGTTTAGGCATAAAATTCATCTCTGTTGTTAATCATTAAGCTATTCACATAGTCTTGAGTTAGCTTTCAAGTTAAAACAAGTCTTAAAGAGGTCTTGATAGTTTCAGTTTGCTAGGAGGAGAATATTATAACTGAATGCTACAGATGTTTCTACATCTTAAAATTATGTTTAAAAATTCTTTAATATCCACATTGTAACTCAATGGCCATCGGGATCTTGGATATAACCTTAACTATATTGTTTCTTCTCTTTGTTGGTACTGTGTATAAGCTCTAACTGGTGATCTAGACTGTGTTATGCCAGAGTAAATGGAAAACAAAATTGTGTGAGGTTTGAAGTAATATGTCACCTAACTGAAAAGAGATAGTGGAGGGACACTTGTACAGATGGATTAAAAAAACAGAAACTAATGAGACCTTTGTGGTTTTTATCAAGTTAACTAAATGTGGCAGGGGAAAATATTCTCCATCGTGAAAAAAGCAATAATATTTTAGTTTGGACAAAACGAGACAGATGTAAAGAACAGAGGAAGGTTCATCATCAGTGCAATAGGCATAGTAGTGACACTTGCAATTAGAATTGGCTGAAGAAAGAGCAGAAGAAGGATAGAGAAATTCAGAAGATATGCTGGGGTTTGTTTTAATGCTGCACCCTGAAAAAGGAAGTGTTTTCTGCCAGCTGGCTGGCATTTCTTTTAGGTGTATTTGTTTCTTCCTTTCTTCCAGCAGTTTTTAGTATCTTAGAACTAACAGTAAAATACATTATTTCCTCCATTTATTCTTCAATTATAGACTGGACTTGTATAAGCAACTCAGCTGTGTCAGTGTCTGTATTCTCATAATTAACAAATATATAAAGTTTATAAAGTTTTATTTGCTTCCTTTGAGTGATCACAGATTGTTAGAACTGCAGCTTCTCTTGAGCCTTTCATTCCCTACAGCTAATGTAAAAATCCATATGTAGGGAAAATGCTGCACAGAAGTTAGTGTGGAGCAGACGCCACAGGATAAGTTGCAGAATGGTTTGGATACCTGATGTCTGCCAGAAGCATCTATCAAAATGCAGATTCTCAATCTAAATCTTCTGAACGCGCATGTTTCCTGCTAGTGATACTCTATGAAAGGCTCAGGTAATTCAGTTGGTGAAGCACATCTGGCTGATGAGTGGAGGTGGCAGCTTTGTGAGAAGGATCTGCTGAGGTCTCTCAATCCGTTGTGTCCCTGAGGACTGTGCTGTGGCAGGAATGCACAGAATGAGTTCTGTTTCATTAAAAGATGCAGCTAATTCTGTGACTTCTTTTCTGTGTCCCAGTCAGCATAAACATTCTACCCCTGTCATTTGTAACAAAGAGAAGCACCTTGGAAAGCAATTGTGGCAAAAGAAAAAGCCTAGTTACTTGGCCGTTCCAGCTCCCTGGCTTCATTAACAACCACATCAAGTTTAGGGCGTTTGTGTTTGTTTGTTTTTCAGGAAGGAAAGAAGTTACAAATCAGCGAGTACTATATTTCATCTCTTCCAAGAGTTAGGGGTTTTTTGGGAGGGGTGACAAAGCAAATGTCTGAAAAGAGGAACCACTTATGAAGTTATCTGTAGTTTTCAGCAGAATAATGTTCTTGCAGGGCCTTTTCTTTCCCAGCAACAAAAGAGACTTTAGTCTGACTTTTAAACTTTATTTTATTATGAGAATTAACTCCAGACCCACAGAAGGATGGAGGTGCCATTAAAACTAGGTGTTTAATTCCAGTAGAAGGATCCACAGCTCCAACTAAGGTGCCTAAGTTCTGTGTAGAACAAGTAGGAATGTGCTTAATACCAGAATGTCATCTGAGCTAGCTACTGGAGGGAATCTCTTGATCTATCCTCTTCAGATACTTGTTTTACATTAACTAATTTAATCTGTATTTTATCAGAGATCAAACCTGAGCCCAAAGTTTCTGCCCTAATGAGAAGTAGGCTTGTTGGGATTGGGATTTCTTGGAATTTAATCCCTATTAATACATTATGTTGTTCCTCTTCATAAAAATATGAAAGGTTGGATTTGTATTCCCATAAAATATAGTAAATTGAGGGCATAAAGAAATTTAATAGCATACCAAATGTCATGGTAGGGAGGGCTACTGAGATTAAGAAACCTCATTTTAGCCTGCTGGTTCTTTAAGATGAAAGATTATCTTTGCTTTTTTTATCAGCAGCATGGGTCTTGATCAGTTTTGGTTTTTTCCTTCAGAACCATCTAGTGTGGACCCTATCATACCTCTAACCACTGTTGTTTCAGATCTGCTTTGTAATTTAGCTAAACAGCAATAATTTTGTGTCCTTTTTGTGCTCCTAGAATCTGATGTGTTTCCAGTAACTTACTTTAACGTTTCCAAGGATTTGGCTCTCCAGCGGCTGCTAGTGGAATGGGATGTTGTCAAGTCAGCACATGACGCTAAGCTGGCAATGTCTTTTGAAATACAAGTCAATCGAACAGATGAAACTACTTCTACTACTGTGTTGACAGTAAGTGTACTTTGAAAAGAAGTATACTAGTTTTTACAATATAAAGGAAGGAAAAGGAAAAGGAAGAAGTAGTAATGTGTCTTTGCAAAGTCCCTATCCTGGTAGTTTTTCTTAACACTTAAATCAGCCAAATTTTCTGAAGAGGAGGAGATCACCCAATTCATAGGCTTAGGCCTGTTCCAACTGTTTTCCCCTCTTTGTGACTTCAGTGTGAGAACAGTCTCCAAAGAAAATTTCCTTTCCTTTGAGTTTGACAAAATCTTTTGGTAATGTTTTAGTCACGTTTTAACCTATTATGAGTCACCTGGATTATGGAAGAATATGAAACGCACATATTAAAACTTAGTAAAACTGAAAAACTGCTCTGGTTCATTTAAAGTTGCTGTTCATGAAAAAACACATAAAACAGTGAAGGGCTTATTTTTTCAGAAATCAGTGATCAATAAAATAAGATAGGCACTGTTAAGAATCACAATTTATTCTTATCAGCCTACCTGGTAGTATTTGATCTAATATTCAGAAGAACCACATCTTCACTGCAGATGACCTCTGTGCAGTTCCAAAGATTTTTACCACTTTGATACATTGGATAGGATTTTTAACACCCCGTGAGTAGATCTAACCCTGAAGTCAATAACTGGGGCCTTACAGCTACAAACAATTAAGTTTTGTATTTTTCGGATTATCCTTCAGTAAACTGTTATTAACTTGCTGGTAGGAAGTAAGAGCTTTTCAAATCCAATGATGTAGTGTGTTCTGTTACTCGTAATAAACATGACAAGGAAAACAAACAGGTTACTTTGGATGTCACTACCACACAAGAACCTATTTGCTTCTGTGTTTTTCTGAAGAATATGTACCAATAAAGAAACTTTGTAAGTCTGCTCCTACCAAAACACAAACAGCCCCTATAACTTCCAAATCAGTGACTACATTTCTCAGGGCTATAACTGAGAAAGTAAATTTTGAACTGATTGCAGAGTTTTTCTCAGAGCAGTAATAATATGCAAGTGCAGGTGTTGCTGATGGGAAGCAGTACTAGAGAGCAATTCTCTAGTGGTCAGTGTGAGCCCAGGCTTCAGTACAACCCATACAAATAGCATGGGTCTATGTGATGAAAATCTGGTATGGTTGCTTTAAAAAATACAAAAATATGTAGAATCATAGAATCTTATAGGTTGTAAAAAATCTTCACAATCATTGAGTCCGACCATTAATCTGGCACTGCTAAATCCACCACTAAACCAGGTCCTTAAGTGCTGCATCTACATGAGTTTTAAATCACTCCAGGAATGGTGATATGTAACCCAGGATGCATTTGTAGGCAGCAGCATCTGTGCATGCTACTACTCATATAATATCAGGCACAAATAACCTACTTAAAGTCTCTGGGAGTGAATCCATGTCATGAGAGGTAAGGCCTGACTCACAAATATGTCAGCGCATCAGTCACCCTACTGCTGCCAGTACAGATCTGTAAGTAGTTAATTAGCTAATAGTTACTTAACATGAGATCATAGGTAGTGAGTGGGATTTCAGAGTTTCATTTTTCAAAAGCATTTTCTTCCTTTGAGCTTTCTCTCTCTCACTGCCTTTGATTGTGTTTCCAAATACAGTGTCTACAGAGTGTCTACACACTGCTGTGTTTTCAATACTTTGCCTTCCTGGTCTTTGTTTGTAGGAGTATCATAATGTCACACTTGATAAATTAGGAAAGCCTCTTCATTGGATATGGTATTCAGACATACCTTTGGAGTGTATGTCTCATGCAGTGAGAATCAGGACCAAAGCAGAAACATCAAAAATCTGGAGTGAGTGGAGTCTGTGGGAGACTGTCTTGGGTAAGTAAAACAAGATTTTGCAATATTTGCTTTATTTTTTTATAGTACAAACCTAGTTTGTAATTCACCATTGTCTGTAATTGTGAAGGACAGTTCAGGAGAAGTGACATCAAATCAAGAATCCATTTTGAACTCATTAATCTCTAAACACTAACCAATTCCTTACTTTTTGTTGGCAATAATAGCAGTGATTCAGTTCATTGTTAGAATTTGCAGACTATCTTCCTGAACTAGTAGGCTAAAAGTTTCAGAGCTTTTTTTGCTCATGCATTAAAACAATGCAGTATATGGAGTGGCATGGGATCTTGGAAAGGCTGTAGCATAATCTATCACCAGGTCAAATACATCCCTGCCCCAGACTCGTGGAGAGGAGATGAGGCACATTGCTATGACTACTTGATCTGATGCATGTGTTACTTTTATCTGGTTTCATAGCTTTGATTAGTGTTACAGAAGCAGAGAGAAAGGAGTGAGTCAGCTCCTCATGTCACCTGGAATGAAGGAGCAAGTCAGGTCCTTATGTCATTTGGAATGAATGTCTTATGAATTATATGAGAGTAAATGGGGACTGAACCAATAATATAATTAATAATATCAGAAAACACTTTTTTTTTTTAAGATTACCGTGTCTTACTAGAACAGTTTGATTTCCAGAGAATTTTGTTTAAATAAAATAGGTAACTACTTTAGAAAAAATTGGTACAGTGATTTTATAATGAAACACTATTCTCATTTGGAGCAGCAAAGGCTTTTAATTGAGATAAGATACATCATGGTAGGAAGAGCATCACAGGTCTTTAGACCTGGATTGTGACACTTAAGTTGTCCATCTCCCTCTCCTTATATAATAGATAATAGGATGCAAGACTCCCTTTTTGTCTCACTAACCTCAGTCTTTGAGACCTTATTTTTTTCAATTGAAATTTGATATAGTTCAAAAATACTATTTCTCAGTCACAAAATGATCCCGCGTTACAGACCTGATTTAGAGCTCCCTGAGACATAGTAATCCTAGATGTCATCAGATTTTTGGATCAGATTCTCGAGAGTAGAGTTTATCCACGCAACATGTGTAAAAGACTGTGAGTCACTTAAATTCCACTAATTCTTACATCCAGCAAGCAGTCCAACGTTAAAAACCATAGGAATCTCATTCCAAGTGGAGTGTCTCCTTACTGATCTGATTCAGTCAATGTTGACTCCTCTTAGCTGAGCTCTGCATGAGCTTCAGAACATGAGGTTTTTCTAGCCCCGTATTCATAGTTTTCCAGAGCAGGCATTTTGGCTGTAAAACATAAGTCTGGGCATAGGTACAGGAGGTAATGTTCCTCTGTAAAGGCAGTTCTTAACCACACACATTTTTTGCCTCCAGTGAAAGGCAGAGAGATAGATTTAGTCTCCATCTTGTTGACTACGTTGTATGTTTATGAGTTTAAGACAAATATAGGTATTATTGAAGTTCATCTCTCTGTGGGGAAGAATACTAAATAAAAGTCTGTGAATGGATAATAAAACATTAACAATTTCTTGAATAAATGCTTAGCTATGTGTTCTGTTTGAAGGCTTTTGCCCTGAGCAGATCTTGAACTGGTTTTTTTATGTATTAATTTTCAGGCCTGGACACTTCAAATAGCAGTGAACCACAAATCTTTCCAAGTAAAATAATTCTAGAGGAAGGCTCTGATACCACTTTTTGTTGCATTGGAAGGAAAGGTCAAATCATTAAAGAATTCTCTGTGCTCCCAGCTGTTCGTGTTTTCAATCGCACAAGCAGTCGACTCGGACTTCTCACTATGGAAAATGTGAGACATCGCGAAACGCCTCACATCCATGTCTGCTGTTCTTACAGTCAAGATCGCTGCCCAGCTCATGCAGCTTTCCTTGTGGGTAGTAAGTGAACACGTTATTACGGATCTATTTTCCCTTTGTTATTAAGTCAAGAGTGACTGTGGGGGGAGGAAAAAAAAGCCTTCTGTAAGTTGTCGTAGCCCTGTTTTGTCCAACTGATCTCTGTTAAAGTCTGACTTGAGATCTGTGAATTTATGTATAGAAATCATTCAAGAATAGCATCAAGCATGTGCAAATTAATCCCATTAATTGATCCTAGGACAGGTGATTGATTCTCAAATATACCTACCCATTTAGGAGTTCAGCTTCACTGTCTGTGTGCCTGTGGTAAAACTCAGCACAGTCCCTATTTTGAAGGCGAGTAGCAATTTTTACAGATAGAAAACAAAACAGATTTAATTAATGGATATATGAATATAACAAAAGATGATAACAAAAGTGTTTGGATTGCTATTAATTTATGGTATTATCCTGACTATCTTGCAAACTGGTCATTGAATAAGTGAAATTTCAATAACATTTGTAATAAACCACACTTTGTACTTATCCATTATTTGTAGCTTGTTAATATATTAAACACTGATGACTTTTGCCTTGACTGCCATGCTATTGGTGTGTTTTTGGTTATTCCCTCTGACAAGGAGCACCTGATACACCTAAAGATGTTTCCTGCGAAACACAAGATATGAGAATAATAACATGTACTTGGAGCAAAGGAGGAAGCACCTATCTTTATGGAAAGTATTCATCAAAGTACACCTTGTTTGCAAAGTAGGTCTTGTTGTTGTATTAACTCTGGTGTGTGTTGTATAGAACAGTCACCTTCTCTCCTTTAGAATCTGTGGAAATGTTTTTTTTTCTTTTTTGTAATTAACTGCCTGCCTCTTTCCACCTCACCGATCACTTATTTAACAAAGCTTGAACGATGCAGAACTGCTCTAATTTAGACTAATTATATAAAGTAGCCTGTCCTTTAGACCAAGTTCTGCCTGCTAAAGCTTGTTCTAATCATTCTTTTGGGTTAATTTGTTTGGATATCTTCCAGTAGGTATGAAGACACCCTGAAATCAGGATATAGATAACTTAAAAGTGTAACATAATTATTGAGTATGCAACAGACAACTAGATCTAATCAGCTGTTAGGCTGACTATTAGTGTGCTAACAATCCATTGACAATAATGCTGACTCAAAACTGATGATTCCCAGCTACCTCCTAGTTAGCCTGATTCACCTCCCTAATTCTTTTTCTTTAGGATTTTAGGACTTTACATGCTCGTGTTTTCCTTCTTGAGTCCTTGAGCTAGTGACAATCCTATCTCAAAAATCCTACTTGTGTCTATAATTTCTGTAATTTCAGCTGGCTTCTTTACTTTTTGTTTGGTTGGTTGGTTTTGGTTTTTTGTTTTTTTGGTTTTTTTTTTTTTTAAGATTTCTCTGCAGACTTTCTCACAGCTCTTTCTTAGCACTCTGAGTCAAGGTGTGGCAAATCAGACATGGCTCTCAGATGAGAAGAGGGGCTTTACCCCAGAGCCTGCAGAGAAACTCATTAAGCGGGACAGATACCTCATCATCACAGCAAACTTTAATCAACAGATGTCAGCAGAAGACAGGTCATCATTGCACGTACCTTCATGGTCTCTGCATCATTCACTTCTATTAAGATATTATGATGGTAATTTAAAAATGGAAGCTTAGAAGGTGCACGTGAAATTACAGCTTCATTTTAAAACATAATGGTAGATGTGTAAATGGTCCTGGCAAATAAGTCCCTGGTTTAGAATTTCTGTGAGGAAATCACTAATTTAGCTGTATCTTAAAAAGACAAACATAGACTTTGAAGAAAACTTTCTTCTAATACCTATCTATTCACCCTACTTCAGGCTAAGGGAAAGAACTGGTTGGCTTTTTATATTCCCCCTCAGCCTTATTTTTTATGATGCTGCATTCTAGTTGAACATCAAAAATTTCAACATTTGTGTTGATTGTACATTATGGAAAAACATCTTTCTCTCTCTTCGCCGCTGTCCCACCCTCCCCTCTCTTTGATAGATCTTCCCAGAAAATGGTTCAGTGCACACAAAGTTGTTCCAAGACGTGTGCATGTTCTTGGGAGATAGGCCAGCAGAGGATCTGGAATGTCACAGTGACTGTGGAAAATCCACTGGGAAAGAAAACTGCCATGGATGTTTTTAATGTAAATCACAGAAGTAAGGTCTTTTCTATATCTTTGTTGAGGGCTTTTTTTTTGCTCCTTCTGAGCTTGATACCTTGAGTGCCCTGTTTAAAGTATGGAGGCCATTGATTTTTAACTTCCAAGTTTTGCTACCTGTCCCTATAGTTATCTGCTCTCTCTTCAGTTTCAGCTCTGGAAAGTCATATTAATGGTAGAAAACAGATTCACTCCAAAGGTCAGATTTGGTTATTGAAATGACCCTTAATACTTCAAAATCTTCTGCTTTGCTGAAGCCAGTTCATAATATAGAAAGCAACATGATGCAAGGATCCAAAATGAGGAGTTTAAGAAAATAACTGTGTAGGTTACTTGGGAATTGGTATGATATGAGATGTGATACAGGTGTAAGCAGCTATTGCCAGGAAAGAAGTGATGATGCTAACCTGTCTTGGTCCTCATATGGGACAGCAATGTCCTTTGTCCTACTGTAAGGGAGGTAGAATAGTTCATCAGTGAAAAAAAAATCTTGCTAATTTTAATGTACTAAGTATGTATTTTTTATTTGCTTTTACTGCTCAGCTAAAATACCTTAAAATACTTTTGCATATATTTTATGTTTTACAAGAGCTGACTCAGATTTTCCATTTGCAGTTTATCCCACTGCACCTTTCCAGGTGTGGCAAAAATGCACAGATACAGAAATCACATTATGTTGGAATTATCAAAGCAATGGAATTGAGCTCTTTTGTCAGACTGAAGTGCTCCACCCGGATGGGAAAGCTGACCTGGTATGAGACCTGAATGTCATACACAAAAACATGTGTCTTGTTCCACCTCTTTAACAAACAGTGAGGCTTCTATGTAGTCCTTTTCTTAGAAAGGCAGCTTGCCTCTAGCACATTAAAAAGGCATAGGGAAGATCACAATCAAGCTGTGTTCTCTGTCAATATTGCTTAAGAGGTCTAGATCAAATGTGGCCATTGCAGGAGACAGTTTTGAGGAGAGGCTTAAAAGCATGCTCACTTATTTTGAGCTACCAGAACAAACTCTATTAGGAGGGAGTATGGGAAAAGGTTGGGGAAAAAATGGAAAGAAAATGTAGCTGTAGATTGCTCTGCCTAGATCTGGAACAGCATCCTGCTTACATAAAGTAATAGCTTCAGGCTCTGTGAGGGCAAGATCTCAGTAAACTCCCTCCTTGATGTAAAGAGTACTCATTTGGAGGGTTGTGACTCCTACTCAGTTACATAGAGGTGACTTTCAGACCTCTTTTGGGATCTCCCAGACTCTTCATCTCATGCATTTTTTTATTATTATTTTTTGATTGTTGTTTCATGATTACCTTTCCCAAGTCAAGCTTAACTTGCTGCTGCAGGACTTAGAGGAAGAAATATATTTTAAGACAAAAACATCTTGCTGCTGAGGCTGAACTGAGCTCTGACTGTTCTGTTTTTCTGTGTTGCAGCACAATAGTTCAGACATGCATTCCCCTCACAGGAGCATCACTGTGGGTGGACTGCAGCCCTACACGGAATACACAGTGAAGGTTCGCTGCGGGGCAGCAAAGCATTTTTGGCGGTGGAGTGAGTGGAGTGAAGCCCGGACTATCAGAACAAAGGAAGCAAGTATGTCCCACCTACTGAGAAGGGAAGTTTGAGGGATATTCTTTTCTTGCCACACGTCTTTGCTATTTGTTGTGACTCTTCTACTGTGTATCTAAAGCAGAGGCCTGTTGCATGCATGAAAGAGAAGCACACTAGGCAAGCTTCCAGAAGGTGACTTCTTAAATAGCTCTGATTCTACCTGCTAGTCTCTGATATTTCATCCAGCACAGACAGTGGGAATCCAGATGACTGGGAGGATGGACAGACAGAGTTACAGTGCCCTTTGTGGCCTGGAGGAATGGTACAGAGGTAGGAACAAGCATCTGGGAACTGCAAGCAAAGATTTTCTTGGGAAATTAACCAGACCTTCATCCAGAAAAAAGAATGAAGGGAAAAGATGTTAAAGGATAATGTTTGGGCAAGACCTGGCAGTGATGGGGAAAAAGAGGTGTTGGGAGTGGAATTTCTTTGAGTGGAAGGAAGCAATTAAACTGTCTATTCTTTCCGGATCTAGAGCATCTTTTTTTTTTTTTTTTTTTTGCTATGTTTATTGCAGCTCCGTCAGGGAAACTGGACATGTGGAGAGAAATTTCACCAGTTCTAGGGGGAAGGAATGTGACCTTGTTCTGGAAGGTGAGACATCACTACAGAAATAGTAACAAAACCCTTTATAAAGGGATTGGAAGTTTTTCCCATAAACTTTAGTAAGTTTGTTTGTACTTAATAGCAGTTCAGTATAAAATGTCTTTTATAAATCGAAGGCAGATATTATATATAATGTATCTCAGAACATATGTAGCTGTGATGGTGTGCTGTCCTGGCATTTGAGACATAATTCTGTTCTTGTAAGTATTATAATATGACAAATATCATTACTGAGGTTTCTTCCATTTCAACCAGTATGCATATGCGTGTGTGGAAAAAAAGGTTTATATTTTTACAGAAATAATACACTCGGTTAGTTATTTAAAGTTCTAAATACTCCTTTCATAGTTTTTCAGCAAAATTTACAAAGTTATTGTTCTCTTCCTTTGTAACTTTTTTCCCAGCAAACACCAGGTTTTCGAGCAAATGGAAGAAATATTTCATATGAAGTAACTTGGGAAAAAATAGAAGATGGCTCCAGGCCTGAAAGCATCTCCTTGTCATCAGTCTACAATAGCACCATGATTTTCATTGATAACCATTCCTATAAAATCAGCATCATGGCAATGAATGATGTTAATTTTTCACTTCCTTCAGTACTGGTCATCTCTAGAGCTACAGATAACAGTAAGAGTACTTTCTGTTACATTTCCATTATGATAATTTTGTTTCTACCTATTTTAAGTGAAGTCATAATTTATCATCTTGGGCAATAAATTAACCTGGCCTTTAACTCACATCAGTGCTGTTTGGAAATTATTACTGTACTTTCACCTACAGGGTGATAATTGTATGTGTGTTAAGCTTAAGCTCACAGTGCCCACAGAACAAAACACATTTGGCCTAAAACTAGGGCCTCAGACCTGTGGCAGATGCCTTGAAGGTGCAGCCAGTGCCTTGCAGGGAACTCTGTGTTTGATCAGCCTCTTGTGGCTCTCTGACTCTACATTTCTGCAGCTGAGGGTTTTTTTAATGAATATGTAGTAACTTACTGGATGGGTTCTGAGCTATCAGCCTTTAGCATACAGAGAGATCAGCTTTCAACATGAGAAAGAGCCCATATGTCACGTAGTGAAGGAATGCAACTCTTTTATTATTGTTTTTCACAATTTAGCATAGAAACTATATTGATCTTCATTTATGAATCTGAAGTTTCATTCATGAAAGTAATAGATATTTGTTTTGTTCATTCTAGGTACTGAAGAGCTTAAGGAAGAACAGGTTAATGGTACAGATGATGGCATTTTTATTTCCTGGAAGCCCAGATATATATATGACAGTTACATTATCGAGTGGTGTAACTTTCCAAAGTTGCGGCCTTGTGATTTGCAGTGGAAGAGATTTGGGCCCAACACTTCCAGTGCTGTGATTAACTCAGGTGAAAGCCAAACAACTTTTCGTTCTGATGTCTGTGTAGCACTCCTTCATGCTATGGGCATTAATTGAATTTAGGAAGCAAATCATGTGGAATATTGAAGTCTCTGCAGTGCAGGTGTAATTCTTCAGAGGCATCATTTTTTTGCCTACCAAATTAATTAGACACCACAAATGTGCCAGCACCACTAAGCCTTGGAAGTCAGCATAGTGTATTAGGAAAGTTAGCACAATATTTTAGAAAAAACCTTTTCTGAGTGGCTTGTAGTAGCATCTTGAAGGAGGATGGTGAGGTTAATGAAGGAGTTAAAAATCTTTGAGCAGAAGAGATGCAAAATGGAACTCTGCATTAACTGTAACGTGGATCAGAAGTTTAGACTCAGGCAGTTTAACACCCACAGTGGTTTAGTGCTGTCAGGGTGCCAAAAATTATGTGGCTCGGCACCAGTCCTTGCTTAGGATCAGTTGCATGGTTTTTTATCCCAGTGGTGGCCAATAGATGTAAATCCTTTCTGGATTACTTCCACAGCTGCAAGAATTTAGCCTTTCTGGAGTCTCTCAAACTGAGAGTTAATTTTGGAATGAAACATGTTTGAACAAAATTTTACTGAATACACTTCAATATGCAATAACGGAACTGCACCGCAATTCACACAAACGTGGAAATGTGCACTCTTAGTGAAGGAGTGTGGTAACACATGGGAAAAGGACTGCCCAGTTCTTCATGGTTTGCACATGGTTGATGTGAATGGGAGTGGATGTCACTGAGGATAATGTGGAATCCTGATGCATGGATATGCATCTGCATTAAATAGTCAAAACATGACGTTTTCCTGCGCCAGAAATGTAAAATGAAATTATCTTGCTCTTTCAGAGTCTATTGTGCAGTCACCTTGAATACTGTATGGCAACAAAAAAAATATATAAACCACTCCCCCATTATCTCTTTCAGACAGAATAAATTTGTTTAATTCACAGTATGCATACCATGAATTGGCTTACCCTCTGTCTCCTTCAGTTGCTTTAATAGCACAATAGCACATGGAGAAGACGTCTAATAGATTATTGACCTCTGTAGAAAGCAGCTCAGCAAAAGCAACACCGAAATACAGACCATAACCTATTTTTGTAATCAGTTTGACTATTTTCTAGCTGCCTTTGTTCCGGGGGTGAGATACAACTTCCACATCTATGGATCTGTCGCTAATAGAGCCTCCTTACTGGAAAAGAAGACTGGTTATCTCAAGGAACTACGTAAGTTGGCAACATATTTAGGGTTTGTGTATTTGCTAAATTGACCTGTCACCACTAGAAGAATTGCTTCTTCCCACAGCTACATAAAATTTTATTTTCTATGTTCTTTCTATATCATCAGTTGTATATCAACATACAGGCCCTCCATAGAGGATATTTGGCTAGTGCAGTGACCAGGTAGAGTCCATGTGTATTAGAAGACCTAAACAAAGCTGTGATTATCAGTCGCTACTTTGTGTATAATGAGGATGCATGAAGGCTCTGTGAAGTTGACAGTGTTTGTAGAGCACTTTGGCCTTGTTCAAATTTTAAATACAAGTAAGATATAAACATAAACACCACATGGGAGTGTAGATTTTTTAAGTGCAAATATAAACATCCTTGAAGAATAATTGCGAGTTTAACTTGAATTTCCTTTCTTCCAGGTCCTCTTCCTGACCTTGTTGTGGACAAAGTTGAACTGACTTTCAATGCAGTAACACTGTCTTGGGATTCTTACGTCACAAATGAGTCACAACCTGGTTTTGTGAGAGGCTACCATGTCTATGTGTCACCTATACAAGAGAATTGCAGTTTAAAAGGATCAAAAAAGCACATTCTTCCAGGTACCCGAGCTCTGCAATGTAGGAAGTTGTGTTGTTGATACAGGTTGCTCATACTGCAGCATCTTAGAAGGTTCACATTAGGCAGTCAAGTTGGCTGATTTGGCCATCTACAGATTTCAACACTTGCTGCTTTTGATTCCCCTCTGTGCTTGAGGTGCTGACAGGCAGAAGTGGACCCTGGCTTTATAGAGATTTACATCCCCTGTCCTGTTGTCTGTAGCTCCTTTTTAGCTCCAGAAAACATTCCTTTGGTACTATAGGAGGATGTAAGTTTCTGCCTCTTGTTATGGGAGTTCTGGATGAATTTCAAAAAACATTTGTGGTTTGCTTAGTTAAGAGTCATAGGAAGCATGTTAGTCTTATTAGGATTTGGACTATTTTAGAAACAGATGGGATGCAATTTATTTCCTTCAGAATTGGAACACTGCGTAAATTCCCCATTTAAATTCTTTTCCAGTGACAGTATTCGTGTCTGTGTTCTACAGTGGAGTTCCTTCAGCTGAAGTGAGCTGTGAAGTGACACAAAGCCACGTTTAAACTTTTATATCTGACCTTCCTGTTCCACATGCAAAACTGCTCCAGATGACTTTGATCCATTATGATTTTCAGATGTTTCCATCATGTTAAAGGATATCTTTTTTTCTTTGCCTCTTCTTCACGGGTCATGTCCCGTGATCCTTCTGCTGATTAGACTAGTACCAAACTGAAAAGCGTATTTTGAACTGAGGGAAGCTTATGTAGGAGTTCCTTTCAGAACTAAACTAACTATAGAAGTACCATAATTCTGTAAGTAATCCCAGTTAGACTTTAAAAAGTTTAAATCAAAGATTTTTCTGCTTCCCTGTTTGTCAGAGCTAGCAGACAAGGGGTGTGACTGGAGAAATAAGCTAACCCATTTCTCCCTAGGGTCTGGGAGTTGCACAAGAGAGGTTAAAGAGCGTGTTTTTTTCAGGCAGAAGTTTCTTGCTTTCGATTATCTTCAAAGAACTTGACCTAAGCTTAAGGGCTACAGAATTCTGGCAGAAAAAAAAAAAGGAAATGGCAAAACTCAAATTACTATGTTAAAAGCTCTAGTGAAAGGAAACAAAAATAAACAGTTGCAGCCTTTGACAACAAGTTATTGGGTGTCTGCGAGAGGATGGGCAATGCTGGACAGTCCAGCTAGAAGGGATGTGAGTTCAGCCCTGTGGCAGTGAGTCAGGATGCATCATCCTTCTCGTAAGAAAGTGTTCAAGTTACAAAGAAGGCAGGTTACAAATGTTTTCTTTATTTCAGTGGCCATGCATAAGCGGGTTTGTAACATTTTGAAGAGGAATTACTGCAACCTTTCAATATCTAAAAGGGGCTTATGATAAAGACAGAGAAAGACTTTTTACCAGGGCCTGGTGACAGGACAAGGAGTAATAGTTTTAAACTGAAAAAAATTGATTTAGATTAGATATTAGGAGGAAATTCTTTACCATAAGGGTAATGAAGCACTGGAACAGATTGCCCAGAAAAGTTGTGGATGCCCCATCCCTGGAAGTGTTCAAGGCCAGGCTGGATGTGGTTTCCAGTAACATGGTGTAATGGGAGGTGTCCCTGCCCATGGTGGAGGGGGATGGAACCGGATGATCTTTAGGGTCCCTTCCAACCCAGACTGTTGATTTTGTGATTTCATGATTCTATCTTATGTTTCATTTTAGATAATTCAGAGCTATGTAAATACACAATTGAAAATCCAGAAGAAAAGAGATACACTGTGGAACACCTGATGTCAAACACAAAATACAAACTTGGGGTTACAGCATATACAGGTGGAGGAGAGACTCCCATTGATAACTTTATATACATAGACACACCATATAACTGTGAGTAGTGGCTGTGGAAAATGTCTTCTAGCAGAAGGATGGGATGATTTAAAATTTTCATGAGATTATTGATAATAATCTCCCTTTCTCAAGGAAAAACATGTAATTCAATGCAAAGTGCACTTAAGAAAGAATCCAACTGAGAAATCACATGTGCGTACCAACATAGCATTTTGATAATTTAAAGTAGATAGGTTTTTGTAAAAAAAATTTAGAATGAAATTAATTTATATCCTTATTTAAGTCTTATATCTTTCTGGGAAATAGCTTAATGTATGCACATTTGCATGCCTAGTGAGTCCTGTTTGTTAGAGCTCATTGAAGAATTGTATTTGGATTTAACTGATTTTCTAATAAACGGAAACTACAGATTCGTGTGCAAACAGGTAATTTCTGTATGGATTCTTGGAACTTCTTATTCTCATCAGTCCTTAAATCCATTGCCAAGTTAACTACTTCATAAACCGATATGGAAGGTTTATTGGCCTAAGCACTGTGTTTTGCTAAGTGGGCAGATTTGATCACCACAGCAGAAGAGGAAATCCCTTGGCTGTAATTCTTTTCCCTTGAAAATACCAGTCAGCAGTCATGGTTGTGAAATTTATGATCCAAATTGGAGATCCTGGTTTTGAGAAACTTCTTGGGGTTGGAGGTGAGAGGGAGGGATAGGAAAGGGGGAGGCATTGGCTTATGCAAGGAGACTTCATGCTTTAGGCTAACTAGCAGAACAGTGTCTAAACCCCCATGGTACCTCACAGACACAGTCCTGCCTCTGCATCCCTCTGTATTCCATGTTCCAGCTCCCATTAGCCAGCAAGACATTTGTACAGCCATGCAGAGAATAAAAATGAGGGCTTAACTGACCCAAAAAAAGAGATAAAAGGAGAACTTAACATGTGCCCATTCCCTGCTGTGGTGTGTGGTAGGAACACACGAACCCTCTGGCACAGGGCAGAGGGAGAGCTGGCACTAACTAGTGTTCCCCCTCAGCCCACTTACAGCCTCAAGTGTTTATGAACAGTGTAGCTCGAGGCTGCGTCTTCCAGCTAGGAGGAAATACTGAGATCCTTGTATCCACACAAATCCTAGAAGATTTGAACACTAGTGTAGTGTCTCTCTTGCTATAGTCAATCCAAAATGGAAGTACAGATGTTCTGTTCACTTCTTACAGTAAAATCTGCCTTTAGAGATCCGAGAGAAAACCTAAAACAATCCGTAAATGAAGTTATCACTGCCTTAGGTTTTGGAAATTTCCTCTCACAGTAAAGATGCCAATATGAGAGCAAATAAAAAGCAGTCTAATAATAATTCAACCATGGACCACACAGTTTTACTGCTGAGTTAGTGGCAGGTATCCCACATGGGCTTGGTGTTATTTTTGTCCAAGAAAGGCTGTATTGATTTTAACATCTGAGGAATTAAAAGCAAAATTTAAAAGTATTTTTCTTTCACAGATAACATGCTATACTTCCTATTCCTGCTCGTGATAGTTCCGACCTTAGTAGCAGCTATATGCCACTGGAAGAAGAAGTGGTAAATTATAAAGCATTTTTCTGTTGTAGACAGAGAATGTAACTAACCTAATTCACAAACCACTGCTGCAGCTTGTTGCTTCCAGCCTGCTGTAAGGTCTCATTCATTTCTTCCTTTGGCTGTCAAACTGTGTGGATGTTGCATTTGGCTTGTGGCATTTCTGAGACACTCATCTTCTGCTGCTGTGTCTGTACACATCTATGTGTGGCTTTTGCTGGTAGAATGTGCTTTTATAGGAGAACAAAAATATCTTTTGTTTTGCTCTCCTATTTCCAGGGTGAAGGAGTGCTGCTGTCCTGCAATACCTAGTCCTAACAAGAGCAAAGTGCTGTCATTCAAAGAGTTTAAGGTAAGATCACTGAAAATCTAGTGTGTTTAATTTGTCCATTCTTTGATTTCAAAATCAAAGTTTCAAAAAATATTCTTTTTGTGTTGATTAAATTTAAAAATAAACTTATTTTTAATTTTTGTGTTGACTTCATTTAACCATTATAAAAACATTAACATAGTTTAATAATACTCTTTAGTGAAGAATTTTCTTTTTTGGCATTCATGTGACTCTGCAGGGACCAGCTTATATTCTGCAGTCTGTTACTGCAAAAAGCCAGTGCATAATTGGAGAATAAATGAAATCTTTTGATACAGTAGGTGATTCCTCCACTACTGCTGTTCAAGCCCTCACACTGAATGCAGCAGACCAGACAATACTGCACTTCACTGCAGCCTATGAGCTGTGCCTGCTCCTCCTGCCCCACATCTCAGCCTGTGAGCTGTGCCTGCCCGCTCCTCCTGCCCCCACATGCCAGTCTATGAGCTGTGTCCGGCCTCTCCTCCTGCCCCACACCCATCTGCAGTAGGGCACTGCAGAGCCATGCACTTGCTGGCCCCTGGGAGAACACAGGGGGTTCTGCCAGGTACTGCCAGGTCTGGCTGGGAGGAGAGGATTGGCCAGAGGCCTCCAGGAGTCAGTACACCTATCAGCCCATGCTGCTGTCTTCCAGTTGCTTCTGGTTAAGACTAAAACCAGCCCGCATCAAAAACCTGGCAAAGTCTTCATAGTAGAGGGGCATGGTTCCTTCCTCAAATACAGTTGTAATGAATTTACTTTAAAAAAAGAATTCTCTAAATAAATAGTCTGATAGATTCGACATAAAATACCACTTCCACTGAACATTCTCTCCATAGGTTTTCCTTCAAATTCTCATTTATTTGAAAAGTCCAAATAAAAAAAAATGTGTAAGACAATATTAGAAGTCCTTGAAGTGATCACTCCCTTTTCTTTACTCTGGACTTTTTTCATTGACTAGTTTTTTTGTTGAATGGTTCTCTTGTAGATTGGTTCTGAGAAAGTGCTAAAAATAAATGACTGCATTCCTGACATGCTGGCTATGGACAATAAGGCTGAAGCCCAGAAATTACATCCATGGAGCAAGTTGTCTTCAATACCAACAGAAGACGAGACTGATGGTCACAATTCGTCCTGGATTTACCCTAAGGAAAATGCAGAGAGAGACCTTCCACCCACACCTATCTCTCAAACTCATAATTGGTTTGAAAATTTTGCTTATTTTTCTCATCTTGATGTTGAATCTCATCCCTATCAAACACCGGAGACACTGGAAGCGAACGAGACAGAGCTGCTAGTAGGGCAATACCAACCACACTGCTATATTGATATTTTTAATGAGGACACAGCCTCAGCAACCAGAGAAACAGCTGGCAGAAAGAATGGTTTGAGATATATCTCACAGAGAGATGTGCACTGCCTGGGGAGAAGGCTTTGATGTACTCTCCTCCATTCAGTCCAGCCAGTGTTTGATTACACAATATAGATGAGAACTTCTTTTGATTAGGGCTCTCACAAACTCAACTGCCCTACTTTGACTAGTTTTCAGTACTGGCTTGCACACAGGAACAATGTGTGTTATGGTTTCTTTACAAGTTTATGGGGATTATATAAGATTTATAGGCTGTTTTGTGGCCTGTATTGTGTAGAAAGCTAGATCACAGCAGTCTGTCATAGCCTGATGCAGAGAACTGCTGTATTTGACAGAGATAAATTTATTCATAGAGGGGCAAGTTAAACAAGGGGATAGGTTGTTGTGCTCAAGGAATTTATTTCACTTGCAGTACGCTACTACATGCTCTGGCCACCCCAGCCAGGGGTGCTGTGCTGCTGGGCATGGAGCATTACCCAGCCCAGTGATAGTGAGGGGTGGGTTTTATTTTCTGTCTCTTAAGTGATGTAAGGAATCATCATAGAAAGGTTACCTGCATACAGTGTGGCACATTACTAGAAGATTTGAAGGAACTTTGACTTTCTCTAGGAGAGCTGCCCGGAGCACCAAAATCCAGTAATTGCCATGCTTTCACTGCACCTGCGTCCTAATGGCACTTGTTGGGTGAAAGAGCACAAAAAACATATTTTTATAGTACAAGCCCCTGCTTCCATTTCTTGTCACTGGGGCTCATCACACTTCTGCCTTCTCTGTTTGGAAGAATGACCCTGTAAAATTGTCTTAACTATACACTAAAGAAATGTGGGGAGCTAGGTAGGAAGTTCTTTTTGCAGCAGGAAAGCTGTTTGCAGAGGTGGTACCATGCACTGTCTCTCTGCTTTTGCACATGAACTGAACTTCTTTAGGCATTAACTCCTGTACTTCCATAGCAAACCCCAAACCACCAGCCATGTAAGGAAACAGGGTGGTCAGATGCATAGTTGTATGTATCCCATTTGTGAAGAATGTCATATTCAGGCTGCATCAGCTAGATCTCCCAACACTGCTTTTGCATGTGTTAAAAAACAAAACAAAAACCAAAACCAAACCAAACCAAACAAAAAAAAAAACCCCAAAACCCCCCCAAAACCCCAGACCAAACCAAACCAAACTTAACCAATAATGAAATTATTTTAACATTGGAACTGTACTGAAAGTCTCATTAGATTAACCTCCTCAGTGCTCAAGGAACCCTTTAGTTTTTCATCCTTACGGTGCTGTTTGGAATGTGTCACATGGTTTCAGCTTAGGAGCATGGAATAAGCGGTTATCAAAGGTGAAAAAAATGGAAGGTCTCTGCCAATTTGATCTTCAGTTAGTTCGCTAAAATGCAGTCACTTGTCTTCCCTGTGTTTAACTAGCTAGCTAATCGCACTTCCTAGGAACTAAAGCAGCTGCAGGCACAAGTGAGTTCTGATACTGAACCACATCTAGTTTTTACACTGTTGATTACAGATACTGTTGTAATGTCCACAAGCTATGTTGCAACAGGAAAACCAGTAAGACCTTAGCCTATAGTCGAGACGAGCACTCCCTGCAAAGAAAGAGAGGTTTTCAGGCAGGAAAAGGCGAGGTACAGACAAAGGTACAAACACAGGGATGACCAGCTGGGGTCAGGTGTCCAGTCCACGCACACTGTGCTGTGTGTGTACAGATGGCACACAGACTCATTTGACAAGTAAAGAAAAATTACAGCAGAGTCCTTCCTGTCAGCCTTCAGCCAGTGGAGTAAGGAAATGTGGCTGGGCACATTTTGCTGAAGGGCAGTTTGACAAGAGAACAGGGAGGTAAGGGAGGAGGCTGATGCTGTTTAATGGAAACATCCCAGAGAAACTTTTCCTCCCTTTACCTCTGGGTTACAGTGCATTTGAAACCTTGATACCACAGTACCATTACAGCTTGGAACATTTACTTCTCCAAAGTGTTTCATCACATTGTATGTACTTGTGTAGTTTAAAAGCTTTGCTGCTGGAGAAAAGGCCAATAAACAGAAGGGAGCTGTTCTGTCACTATCGATATAAAGCTTCTGAGCTGTGCATTTCAGAAAAAGGCCTGTTTATTCAAAAAGGTTTGAAAGGTACCCTAAATCAAGGGTTACGTAGCTAAGGAATTCTGACAAGTCAGTCAACGTTCCACTAAACATGTTAAAATTTGGCATTGCTGCAACTCCTTGTGTCAGAGGGGACAGCTGCAACAAAGTACAAATCCCTACTTGAAAAAGCTGCTGTCACTGGGGCTTGGCTGCAGCAATTCCGCCCAGGAAGTGAATGGAGGAGTGTGAGTGTGTGTGTGTGGGTTCAGCCAGTTGTGCCTTCCTGATGGTGGGGTGAGACACATTAACCTGTTCACCTCTCAGCTCCCTTGGTCTTTCCTAGGGAGATCCTGCGCTGCTGAAATTTCATTATCTGGACACAATGAAACACTTGACTGGGTACCAGACTGCTGGGTGAGCTAAGGAGAAGCCAACCCTTTTGGTTCCTGGCCCCGATGGGTGGTGCTTCGTGAAACCACCTGTGCATAAAAGTGCACAAACAGAGGATTCCAGGGAGGATAATGCTCCTGTGCCAGTCAGAAGGTGCAGTCTGTGTGCCAGAACTGAAGATTAGGAAAGTATTTTTGCATGGCTGGGGAAGCATGTATAATTTTTATATACTAAGACATCTGTCTTGCATTAATGGTTGAATGAGTTCAAAAGTGTAATCCTCTTTTTTTTTTAATAATTCAACTCTCACAGCTGTTGTTGAAATGCTAATACTTAAACCATCACATAATGGAAAAGTATTCTCAGTATCAGCATGATAAAGTTTTAAAATAAAAATGGTGTGCAAACTATTAAAGAGTCTCTATTTTTATATCTTACAAAGCATTAATATAAAATATATTTTTGACAAAAAAGTTTATTTAGAAAGCTTCTGGTCATTCTAGTTGATTAGTAACTTACAAATGTAAATAAAATTCCAACCCATTTCTAGTGCTGAGAGGTACATAAGAGACCAGAACAACTATTAGAAGTTTAAGTACATTTTATTAACAACGCATCCCTTTGATAAGACTACGCTTCAGGAGGCCTTTAATGCTCATTGACATGAACTGTACACAGTATACAAAAAAAAAAAAAGAAAAAAGAAAAACACGAAGAAAATCAAGATGGGCAATACCATTTTGGGACAAGCCTCTGTTTAAATTATACACAGCTCAATGCAATATTCTTACGTAAAATATATAAATACTTTTTCTTTCTATGTTACAGGTATACAATATAAATCAGATTTCAATGTCTGTTCAGTGACCTAAAACACTAAAACCTCCAAATATGTAGCAGCGTATTACTAAATAAAAAAAAGACCACACAGGACAGGGAGAATAAGTATTGAGATTTTCCTTGATCCCTTTCCTCAGATCAGAATGATTAATTTAGATAATCTCTTGTAATGAAGTTTTAGGGATGCTGACAGCCCAGTACTGGAACAATTTTTCAATTAAAACTAAAAATTGTCTGCCTTTTATCCCCTTAAGACATTGCATCTTGTGCTGAGACACCCTATTCAGTGGCAAAATGGCATGTTACATTTTTTGGCATAAATCACATTTCTCAAATAAAATAGTGTATTTTAAAAAGTAACTCAAAATGTGCAATTTCTGCATGCTGTGGCATTGCTGTCCATCTATGCTACAAAAATAGCCCAAAGAAACTCCGCATTCTTTAATGAATATAAATCCGTTGAAAACAAAATTATCTACGGAACCACCATGAGGATTTAAAACAAAAACCAAGGAGATGGGGGCCCTCTAGAAAAATACAAACACGGTATCTAGCATGTCCCCAAAGTTCTTTTACAGTTCAGGTTTTACTCTCACCAAGTATATCTTTAATAAGCACATAATAATAGAAGTGTTCTAATAGTTTTTTTTTTAACTATTAAAAAAAAGTAGTTACTGGACCTGCTTTCAACTGGCTCCAGTAGAGCTCAGAGTAACAAGACTTGTGTGCCGCCCTGCTGGGAGGTGAGTAGAACCAGGGAGATGTTCCAGAGACTGGCAACAAGCCTTCCACTGCCATTGCTAAACTGGAGCTTATGTTCCCTTACAGGGAAACACCAGCTTCCTGCAGCCCAAAAAGCCAAATACCATGACCAGGACACAACTATGAAGCAGCAACAACTCTTCCAGTTCTCACTAGGCTTTGATTATTCTCTGTTTCTTGAATAGCTACCTTGCTCTTCAGGCACATAGCAAAGGTGCTACGGTTTGGTTTTCAGTCTCACTGCAAAATAAATCGCATTCAAGATCACTATGTATGTTTCAAAATAAGACGACAAAGAGCCAAGCAGGATTCTCACTGGTGCCTTATAACGGCAGCTTACCTCAGCATGCTGAGCCACTGCACCCTAAACTACTGAATCTGAATCGTTTAGAACTCCACTTGGGAAAAAACACCACCACCCTGCAATGAGAGCACATTTTGGGTAGGTATGTCAGATGTCAGTCAAATAAGAATGGTCAGATGAGGAAAAGAAACTTGACTGAAGCACAATATGCCAGGGGCCCCACATACAGGTTCACCACTTCAAAGCCTGACCATCTCCAGCTCCAACTGATGTCTGCAACAGCTGGGAGCATGCTGCATGTCTGAATTTCAGAGAGCTGAAAAGGTCTCTCTCTACAAAAGGAGACTCAGCACCCAGCTATGTCCTCCTTCCCTCCTTGGAGAGAAAGAGGTCCTTAGGGAGGTACCTGGGGGCCCCACCAGTTCACTGCCCTTTGCAAAGGGCTGCCCCTTTCCACTGACTGTAAAAGCCGACAAAGTAAATTGGACAGCTAATGCAGTAGACTAAATGTGACTGGTTTCACAAGCAGCCTCTCCTTCCCACAACGGCTTCTGTCTCTGAGCTGCACATGAGCATGTGGGAAAGTTTTCTTTGCCACAGCAACCCAACTGCATTGGTAGTATATAGTGTAGGTGAACATTACACACTTTGCCATTTATTCAACAGTATCATTCAGACTGGAAATATAAAAGTGGGTGGTCTGTCAGCTTCCCTAGGAGAAGTGGAAGAGATTCTTTATTAGGGCTAATACAAGCACAATCATTGCTTACTACATTTTAATTTTGAAGCTTTAAAATGAACCAAACGAAATCCCAAAACAAGAACTTTGAAAACAGTATTTGAAAAAAAGAGATCTATAGATTTAGAAATTCACAGTTTATAACTAGGCCAATATAAATTTCCTTCAATAACAGTATCCCCTTCATTTGCCAATTAAACAGAAACATCAATGAGCTTAATGTCAGTATGTAAATTAATTTTCTAGAAATGTTGTATGTTATGTACAGTACAGACTTTACATCCTTGATGCATACTTGTTGAAATTACTGACACTCATACATTTTCAGAAGAAAAATCACGCTTTATAACTGAATTTGCAGCCATAATTATTTATGTCAAGTTTCTGTTGTCATGGATCCCCACACAAGCAAGCAAGTACTTCAGAATGAATAAGCATTTCAGGATGGAAATTCTTTCAAAAGTAGGTTTGCTTACCTTTTTATAATCAGAGGCCTTTCTACATTAAGTGCTATGGGTTAAACTTAACAAATGAACAGAGGTGTTTTATTTAAATACAGGTGATAAAACTTGTTTATTTTGCTTTAACTGCAGAAAAATAACATGGAGTTGTTTGATGTAACCCCATTTAGTTATTAAAACAAATCTCTTCTACTCTAGCCTAACTGAGGTAGTGTTTGAAACTACTGTATAACATACGCTATCCCCATTTGTGGGAAAACTACATTATTTTCCTTTGGAGTTTATACCACTATTTGGTCTACTGTGATTGACATTTTGGTTTTACAGAAGCATTTATTTCTTATGACCATAAGTCCAATAGTTACTGGTGTGGCCTGTTTTCAGAACATTTCAAACATGTCTTGACACATAGATGTATTATTTGTGTCAATGACCACAGAAGAGTTGAATCAGTTTCTTTTTGCTCCTTCTTTCAGTGGGAACTCATGAAAAGATAATCTTAGGAACTAAATTTGACTACGAGCAGCAACTTACAATTTGCTTTACCAGAA